CCAAAGCGTATTAAAAACTTTAGCGATTGTCCCAACTCCACTTGCACCCCCACCATATGCATCACCCTGAACATATGCCCTACCACGAGGAACCCCGTAGCCCACACGAGCACCTGTCACACCACCCTCACCAGGGTATCGAAAATTATGGGCTCAAGTTCGGTATGAAAGGCAATTCCAAAACAGCGATCAGTGGGGCCGGAGGTCTGGACTTCATGGGTGTAAAGACTGAATATAAGGGGGCAGCCGCTCATGATCTGGGTGGTGAGAGCGGTTTTGAATTAGATGGTTCATGATTAAATGGTTCAAAAAAGAACCTTGCCCACCCGATGCATAAGTTATTTTCTATAATACTTTGTATGCTATTATTGAATTTTAAAAAATAAAAATAAAATTATTAATACTGTACTAGTAGTTATTAGTGTACATGGTTTATTTTTTGTTTTTATACAAAGTTACTTTTAAACGATGATTTTTGGAGTATTGCAAATAAATAAATTATAAAAATTATTTAATTGAATAATATTATAATTAATTTATTTTATACCAAATTGGGGTTTATTTTCAAAAAATGAGTTTTAAAAAATTATTTATACCCTATTTTATTATATATATGTATATATATAATATATTTATTTATATACCCAAGAAAGATATTCAAAATATTTAAAATATTCAAGATAATGATAAGTGTTGGGGTTGCAAGTGGAGTTGGGACAATCGCTAAAGTTTTTAATACGCTTTGGTATTAACTTTAATTTTATTTATAATTATAATAGTATTTTATAATCTGAAATGTTTTTCAATTACTTATTTTTAAGTACTATTTTTAACTTATTATTAAAGAATTTATAGTTTTAATTATAAATCTTGTTATGTGTCACTTGAAAACTGTAAAGTAAACTAATATAAATTACCAATAAATTACGGTAAAATTTACTTGTTAACAAGTTTAACAAATAATAATCTAAGTTCATAAATAAAAAGTGCGAATTTCAAATTTGACAACAAAAATAATGATTATTGATATTATATAGCTACTTATTACACTACTCATTTATAATTGTTATTAACCAACACTACGTAATTTATGGATTACAAATTTAAATTTAAAAATTTAAATTACCTAATGAAGCATTGCTTAAAAATGTAAATAAAAACAAAAATAACTGTTAATCTATTATAATATTGTATCCGCTTTATTTTTAGGCTTAAAAGCACCTTACTCCTTTTACTATCATTGACATCAATAACGTATTCATCAGCTGACAATGATCCTGGGTATTACCCTTATAAACCGTGAGTGCCGTATATTTCAAATTATTCATTTTTATAATCCTTGTAAAATTACTAATGGTGCATGGTACTCACTTTTGCAATTCACTACTTATAGGCCAAGTCGTGTCTACCTACCCCACGGTAGACCACTACCTGCCAACTATCCCTACGACGAACCCATTTATTCCTACCATCCCTACGACAGACATGTTATAAAATCCTTCAAAGCCTTGGATAATGGCTATAAGCACCCAATGGCCGGCTACCAGTCCCTTGATAATGGCTATAAACATCCGATGGCCGGCTACCAGCCCCCGGAAAATGGCTATAAGTCTCCATACGCTGGTCACCAACCGGAAGACGACGAGAAACCGGCGGAAGGCATAAAAAACTACGGCTTTTCCTTTGATAGCGAAACACAAGATGACAATGAAAATGAACTTGAGAACTACTGGAGTCTATACCATCACCCACATTATCATGGACACCCTGGACACCCTGGCCACCCTGGACACCCTGGCCACCCTGGCCACCACGGACACCATGGCCATCCTGCCAATTATGATAACTATGAAATTTGGTGATAATTCTGGTGAGGCTTGTGGTGAATTAAATAAGCCTGGTTTATTTTAAAAATTATGTTGTAATATGCATTGAAGTATTTGTTTTAACATGATTATTAAAATAAAATTTTAAAATTATTTGTTTATTTTTAATCTCAAATTTTTAATATTGCGTTTCATGCACTGGTAATTTAATAGTAATTATAAATTTATTTATTATATTTTTTACTTGTATAAAAATAAAAATAAATACATTAATAAAAACAATAAAAATATTTAAAGTATTGAATAGTATCAGTAAAAATAAAATTATTTAATGTAAACTTACAGTCCCTTTAAGGGATTAAAATAAAAATTATATAATTTAATTTTTATTGATTAATATACAAATGGCTGATTATTTAAATAAAATTAGATATTGATTGATAAAATTCATATAAAATGTATACTATTTCTACAGAATTATAAATTATTTAATAATTAAAAATATCTTTTATTAAACACATTATAAATAATTTGTTTACTTTTAATGTGTTAAGTTTTAGTTGATTAGTTTCCACCTGGGCGACTCAAGTATTGTAGTTATACTGAAGTATTATTTATAAGCATGTAAAGTAAAGTATGGACTAACATGAAGTAAAAATAAAATTATTTAATTTATACATTGCAATCTTTATTAAATACATTAAAATATATTATATAAGATAAAAAATATATGTAATTTGTATTGATTATATGGGTATTTATTTCAATAAATTTAGAAATATATAATTTCTACAGCATTATAAATTAGTTCATAATTAAAAATTATATTTATTAAGCACTTTATAATTGATTTGTTTGCTTTTCACGTGTCTGTAGTTCACTAGTCGTATGTTTATATCCATCGGAGTGTCGGCGCCCTAAGTCTCTCAGCTCCTCGACATCATTCATATTGTCGGGTATCTCCCTGTCCTTAGTCTCCGGTAGGAAAACGGTTAATATTGTGGCCATTAGTGCCAGTAATCCAAACACCATCATAGATACGCCAAAGTTATAATGCTCACTCTATGGACATAATTATGAACTAATTATACAATTTAAATTAATTTTTACAAAGTTTATAATTAATGCTTTATACAAAAACTTAAATATGATTACAACTAGGCAAGGTTATTTATTAGAATATTTAATTTTTTAAAAATTACCAACATCATATTCTACCTTACTACCGCTAACTGCAAATTAATTTTATAAGCAAGTTGTTTTAACATTATATAAATTTATATAAACTATAAACTAAATTATTTTTTTAAACTTAATTTTCATACCATTTCCTTAACAAACGGCGCCAGTATTGAGCCAATACGGGCGGCTATACTACAGCTCCCGATCCCCGTATGCCTCAATACAGTGGGAAATATTTCGCCCGAATGTATATAANTACAGCTCCCGATCCCCGTATGCCTCAATACAGTGGGAAATATTTCGCCCGAATGTATATAAATAACGTTAAATGAGCTAAAAATAAATAACTTTCCAAACATAGCCAGCACCAATTTCACAGTTTCGTAGCTAGCGCCCATAGGTTCCTTATAGGCGCCCAGCCCTACAATAGTCAAATAGGAAAGGGATGCCAACAGCATAGTAGTAATGGTAAACGCTTTACGGCCCACGTGTCTAAGGCCTACGATGTTGAGTATGAGGGACGGTATCTCCACCAGCCCTGCGATGGCAAAGTTTACGTACAGATTACCGCCGATTTGCTGGACATTCAGCGATATTCCGTGATATATGAATGCGTTCACAGCAAATGACACCCAGAATATGAGGGTATAGTTTCGCATCACTCGGTGGGACAGTAGGTCCAGTATGGTCCGGTGCTGTTGACCTTTTGCCGTGTTTTGAGACTATGTATAAAAATAAGAAATATTTATAAATATTTAAACATAATAATAATATTATGTTATAAAAAACAAAATATTACATCTAATGACCATTGATTTATTTAAAAACATTTTTATCAAAATATAATTATTTAAGATTTTTATATTACAGTTTTCAAAATAAATAAATATTATTAAGTAATAGTGTCTACTCTTAAGTGATTTATTTATTATACTATAATAGAGTAATTTATTTAGGTAGGTTCAAATTAATGCATATTATTTGTAAAATAAAAATACATAAATTAAATGGGTATGTTATCAAAAGTGCTAATTAAGTAAGCATGCAAAATATGTGCCTATTATTAAAATTATTTTTGCTTTTCAAATTTTAATAATTTACACTATAAAGTAACAGGTTTAAAAAAAATAAATTTTAAATACCATTTCTGTGTTAAGTTTTAGTTGATTGAATTTATCGCCCATGTAGTCCGGGTTAGTTATCCTTCCATTCATTTTAGCAGCTTTAGCGATTGTGAGCCGGGCCTTTTCAATTTGATTATTAGTCAGTTGCCACCTTGGCGACTCCGGTATTGTCAATAGCCAGGTGCACATAAAAATTAATGCTATCGATGTGGGTATAGCTTGGAGGTACTGGTAGTCATGTAAAAGCCAGGCACAGGCAGGTAACGCTATATAGCCGGCTATCCATCCAAAACTAACTGACATTGCTATGTCTGTCCGATATTTAGTGCCCACCTATTAAATAATGATCATGGTAAAATTTTAATAATATCCATAATGAAATACTGTATTATAACGTATATAATATTTTGTTTTTATTTTAATATAAATTATACAGGTATTTATTTAACATACCGTTTCTAGGATCAGTAGATATAGACAAACTCCACGTCCACTATCGCCCAGTCCGATGAAAAACCTACTTATGATGTACTGTAGGATTGATTGCGAGAATATTAGGGACAGTCCGCCGCACACCTCTACAGTAATAGCTAACCACA